CCTCCTTTCATCCCACAGCTCTTCCAAGGCATGTGTCATCCAGATGGGACAGGATGCTGCATCCTTGTTAACATTAACTAGAAATGGGAAACAATTCATCCTGGCAATTACCATCTCCCGCTGCCAGAGTGTACTTCCGGTCCCCACAGCTTCTCCACCTCCACTCCCCACACCTCCAGGCTTCCCCCCTGCCCCTTGTTCCCACCAACAGCAAACAATTAAAAGGGATAGAGCAGAAAAGACTGAGGAGTAGAAGGCCATCGTTTACCTTTAAAATAATGACTCATTTTATTTTTCTTTTAATACGTAGTTATAAATATATTTTGTCAAAATATATGATCAATATGGTCAAAACATTTGCACATAAAGTTATAAATAAGGTCAAGGTGAATGTTTAGGTTTTTTTTTTCTTTTTCTTTTTAAGATAAAAGTCCAGCTATAAGGAAGCAGTCTGTGTGGTGTATGGGTGAGTGATGGCAAGGTGTGTATGTGTGTATGTGTCTGTGTGTAGTGTGTGTGTCTGGCTGTCTGTCCTCAAGGACTGCCTGATCTCAGCGGCACCCACATCCCTCTACCACCATCTCCTGATAATTTTTCAGTACCACCTTGTCATACTCGTCCAGGTAGAGCATGGAGATGGCACTCAGTTCAGTGGGTACGCAACAGGCCTTGGGGATGCTGGAATTGACAGAGTTGACCAGGGTCTGCACGATGGCGTGGTTGGTGGAGTTGAGGTGGTCCGCCAGTGGGAAGGGGCAGTCCCCGTGGCAGTAGAAGGCCTGATAGCCTGGTGGGGCCACGATCCAGTCATTCCAGCCCACGTCGCTGAAGTCCACATAGAGGGAGTGGCGCCGGCAGTTCTTATTCTTCTTCCTGGACCGCTGCGGATGATGCTTAGGGCTGCGCTTGGCCCTCTGGCGTCGGGTTAAGGTGTGGCCCCGGCCATCGTGGCCAAAAGTGACCAGGAGGGGCCGGAGCTGGGCCCACTCGCCACTCCCTTGAGGTAACGATCGGCTAATCCTGACATGCTGGCCCTGGTGGGTCCTTGTGTGATGGAGGTGAGTCACCTCCACGGCCAGCCCATGGTTGGGCTGCTTCTCCCGGGTCCAGCGAAGGACCGCAGGGCTCACGTCGAAAGTTTCCCACCGTGTCACATTGTGGTGGACCAGTCTCGTGTCCAGTAGTCGTGTGATGAGGTGCCCAGACCCCGTTTCTGCCGGGGGTTTCATAACCTCGTAAATGTTTATGCGATGGAAGCCCTGCTCCCACGCAGGGCCCTGGTCCACCTGTTCCCGGAAGAGCCTGAGCTCTGCGGAGGAGATCACCTCGTTCTCTGGGATGCTGCTGAGGTTAAAGAGGAAACGAAAAGCAGAGTTCTCACTGGTCCCTGGGATGCTCTCCAGGTGTTCTGCGCAACGGTTGGGAAGGAAGGGAAAAAGAGAAAGCATGTGAGTGGTACATTCTGCTTAGCCAGTGCCAGGATGCCAGGAGGACCTCTTCATTTGCAGGCACGGTAAAATAAGGCAGTCAGGGAACCAGCAGAACTCAGCTAGCATCTATCAAGCACCAAAGACAAAGTATCTCCCAGCCTCCTTTATATGTCTAATAATTTCCATGTGTCAACTCCTTCACTCCACCACCTCCGGATTCCCCTTTTAAAACCCACTCTTAGTTTTGTGTACACAGTTTTCTTTACAAGTAGTTGTAAAGAAAAAAGAGGGGCCAACAGAGCGGGAGCAGGAGGAAACACACACAGCCCCGCTCTCCCTCTTCCCCTCTTGAGCATGTTACTAAACATTTCCCCAGCGATCTTGGAAACACAGAGCGGGCCTTGTTGATCGTGTTACAGAGGGGAAAATAAATTCCAACACAGTAATGATGCTGGTGGATTAATAACTCAGATTTACTTTGGAAAAGAAACATCCGCTAGGAAACATTCAGATCAGATTACAAGGCCCCTATTGAATAAACCTGACAAACACGCAGCTGTAATATTAAATCAGTAGGTGCTTTGGAAAAAAAAAAAAAACCCAGGCAGAAAAGGCTTTGATATGGCAAAAACACACCGCTGGGGCCAGCTAGCCCTTGTCTGAATGGTGGTCCCCTTCACCAAGACCCCTCCCCCTCTGTCTCCAGAAAATACGTTCATCGGCAGCAGCTCTGGAAATTCTTGGAGGTAAGCGGCTGGCTGGTTCCTCGGCCTCCAGGAGTGGGGCTTTGATGTAACCTGAACTGTCTTCCCCAGGGCTTCCTTCCACGGCCTCCAGGCCTCCAGGCCTCCAGCCAGCCCCGCTCGCTCGCCCTGCCCTGCCCTGCCCTGCCCTCCCCCACCCGGTGGGGGCAGGGACTGACCTTCGTGGTGAAAGCTCCTCACGGTGTTGGCCCGGCTGGCAGGGCGCTCCGGGTACTCCAGGCCAGTGCCTCCGTGGACCTGCTCTTCCTCGTCCTCTTCCCCAGACTGCAGCCGGTACAGATCCCGCATGTAATCCGGGATGACGGCGCTCTTGCTGGGCTGCGGGCGGCGGCGCAGCCCGAACATCTGCAGAAGCGTCGCCTCGAAGTCCCGCAGGAGCTCATGGCTCTGCCCGGAGCGGCGTCCTCCCGCGTGGCCCTGAATCTCGGCGACTTTTTTCTTCCCCGTCTCAGGTATCAAACTAGCATGGCTCGCGCCTCCTAGCAGGACTTGGCATAATAAAACGACCATCAGCATTCGGTTACCAGGAATCATGGTGTCTCTGGGGAGGGGGAAAGGTGGAAGGTTAAAGAATAAATAAACACCAATAAACAGACAGAAACAGAGATGGCTCCGCATATGCATAGAGGGCTGGTTGCGGAGGGTCAGGATGTATAACAGGTCAGAAAGATCAAGTTTGTGTTCTCTCCCTCACACCCTTCCACCCACCCACCCACCCACCCACTACCAGCAGCTGCAACCGGCCGAGAAAGGCCTGAAAGAAAGAATTGCCCTGTAATTACTTGGTCTAACTTGTTTACAGTCAAATAACCCCAAATCAGATAGCCTCCATCCTGTTAATCTTTTTTTGTCCCAACTGGTATCTGAGCCATGATCTCAGCGTGGCTTCTTCAAGGATAAACAGTTAACATTGAGGGGGCTGGGAAGGGGTGGGGGGACGAGAATGAGAATGAAAATGCCACTGCTTTACCACTTCGGACCTCCAACGTGTTCCCCCGCTTCCTCCACCCCAATGCCCCCCTTTCTTCCTCCACCCTCTGAGCCCAACTTCCCTAACTTCCAAATTCTTGGGGAGCAGGAAGAAGGAAAAACCTAGAAGAGGGGACCGGGCGGGCGAAGAAGACAGGGCGGCAGGGGGCAGCGGCAAGGAAAGGAGCCTGGGGTCTGCTCCGGTGGCTGGACAGCCCATGAGTTTGAACCGCCCAGCAAGGAAAGCAGTGCCCGCTGACCCGCTCCCGGGCAGGGGCTGGGGTGATTCCACAGAGAGCTCAGGGATTTTGACAGGAGGCTGGGAACGGCGCGCGGGGACACCCGGCGCTGCCCAAGCCAGTCGGGCTGGGACAGGGAGTGCTCAGCCCTCAAGGTACAACCCCTAGTTGGGGACCTTGCATCTCCTCAGGCCCCTCGCGCCCCATTTTCTTGCATCGCACGGGATCTGAGAGGGCGGGGAGGGGGGGCAGGCAAGGCTTTAAAAGCACCCGGCAAGCTACGAGAACCCGGGCTGCGGGGCCAAGAGGAGCGCGACAGCGCAGCCAGCGCGCGGAGTGCGGATGCTGGAAGGAAGGTCGGACCGCAGGGACCGACGGCGATGGGGAGGAGGCTGGGGGTGAATTCCCGGGATGGGGGGTAGGAAGAGGTGTCTACTCACTGACAGAAAACAAGGCATATAATAACAGTCCATGATTCTTGACAGCCAATCTTGAACAGACTTGCTGGAAAGGCTCAGAGAAGCTGCGGCAGTGCGTCGCTCGGAATGGCACTACGGAATGGCTCCTAAAATGAATATTTGAATATAATGAGACTCCGGCGCAGACAGGCTCTGTTTTTCTTCCAGCCCCTCGGAGTCACGTGAGTGCTCAGGCCCCACCCCGTGCGCTGGGGCGCCCGCCCTGCCCACTCCACCCTCCGCCCCCGCTCGGCTCTGCTCCGCCCGCCCATGGATGCGGCGCCCCAGACCTCGCACCCGCCGCGCGAGCGCCGGGGAGGAGCCGGGTCGGGGACCTAGCGATCGCCTCTACCTGCGGCGCGCGGCGCATCCGTGCAGATCCGCGCGCCACGGCCTGAAGCCGGGGAGTCCAGAGCGCGCTGTGGGGACTGCACCTCCCAGCTCAGACGCGACCCCGGGAGGGAGGGGGCTGCTGCGTCTGGGTAGTGCTCGAAGCTTCACCCCCGAAAGGCACTTGAAACGGAAAAAGCCCCGAGGGACCTCGCGCACACAGGCACACAAACGCGCGCGCGCGCTGGGTCTCCAGGAGGCCAAATATCGCTCCCAGCGATAGCCATCCACCCCTGCGGGGGCTTGCGAGTCTTCAAACCAGCAGGACAACACATTTAGCAAAAATTGCTGCCCTCCCTGCAGCGCCCCGGGCAGGGAGGAAGGGGGTTCTGGGTGTCACCAGTGTGAGAAAGAGGGACAGGCTGCTAGAGGCGTTTCTCTGGTTCCAGTTTGGGAAATCCTCCTAGGGTGTCTGTCGGCCGTTGCGTCCACACTACCCCCCTCCCCCGCCCCAGTAAAGCGGATCCCCAAGAAACCGATCGGCGGAGCCAGTCAAGGCGGAGGGACAGATGCTTGGGCTCTGGGTTCCAGACAAGTTCAAAAAGAGGCGTCGCCAAAGAAAGGGCGCATCCCATGTTTCAAGTCTTACAATGTCGCCGAGGTTTTACGACTCTCGACCCGCGCAGAAAAGAAATCCCACCACGTTCCCAAGAGTGGAGCAAACTCTGAACAGCTCTCGGCCCGCACTCGCCCTCGGTCTGCGTCTCCGGTTCCCCGGCTTGGCTTATTTTTTAAACAACTACACCACCCCCCCGCCCCGCCCGCGCCACTTCCTCCCCCACCCCCTTCCTCCTTTGCACCCTCTGCAGAGTCGCAGCAAATATTCCTGTAAGAATTTTATCAAGTCACAGCTCAAGCAATGCCCGGGGAAGCGGTGCTCGCGGTTCACCTAGCGCGAGGGCCAGTTCGGATACTGGAGCTGGCGCAATTCCGCGTTCAGCCGGGCTGTATGCACCGCGTCACCGCGGGGCCTGAGCCCCACGATTCCTGCCCGAGCGCTTACTCCACTGGGCCTCTCCTTCGTGAGCCTGTCCCTAGTTTCCGCCTTGGGTTGCGTCGTTCCGCAATGGCACGGGATGGAGGTCACGCTTTCCCCTTCCAAACCTAAACTGTGCTTTAGGGAGCGCTCTGCGAGAAGCCATTTAGAAAAAGACGTAAAGGACGGAGCAGCAGCTCTGCCCTCTCTCCGGCGCCACCCGATACCGCGCGTCCGGGTGCGGAGGCCGAGGGCGCCCCTGCGCGACCGTCCACGCCCGGCGACGGCCGCGCCGCGGTTGGAGCCGTTTCTCCTCTCCCCGTCCCACGCTGGCGCTGGGGCGAACTAGGAAAGGGCTGGCGAAAGCCAAGGGTTTTCTTTCCCTGCTTTGCTTTGAAAAGATTGGAGCCCTTAGAAAGCCCCACGGGGAGGTCTCCAGAAGTGAGAAGCAGGCAGAGACGGGCCGGTCCCCTGGCGCAGGCATCGGGGATGGCGCGATCCCGGGATCACGCGACCATCTCGGCCCCTCGGAACCGCCCGGGTGGCGGTCGCAGCGCTCGCTGCGCTGTCGCCGAGCGGATGGGGAAGCAGGTTCGTGTTTCAATTTCGGATTTTTCCCCAGATTTTTCAGTTACAGAGATAAAGACCATGTCCTTAACCTCTCCCCACCTCCCGGCGGAGGCAGGAGCGGGATACAGCTCCGGGTGTTGCGCTTTGCTTCCCTACCGGAATCTCCTTCCCACGCCGAAGTTTCAGGTAGCCTCAGTTTACCAATTGTGTGTCTCTTGGGGTTTTAATGTCTTACAAAAGCCTTCAGCTCCTAAAACCACGATATTCATAAACCATCTATCAAAGCTGCGCCCAGGAGGAGTCTGAGGCCCGGGTCCAGTTCCCGCGGGGAGAGGGTCCGAAGGGACCCGAATCCCCCGGGACCTTTACCTAAGGGTTCCTCCTGAGGGGGGCCTGGAGGAGTCGTGCGTCCCTCCAGAGTGTAACCTTGGGAGGCGACGCCGCAGGAGCCCTTAGAGTCACCACGTCGCCCACACCTCCCCGTGCAAGGATCGGGGCAGCCAGTCTAGAGGAGAAGCTCGGGGAGCACGCGCGTCCTGCAGCGGCGGCTCGCAGCTCTCTGGGACAAGGTGAGCGCCGGTCCCCTGGACGCAACGCAGCCCCACGGGCGTCGGGACCGCGCGACAGCGCTCCCTGCCACTGACCCGGCTCGGGCTCGGTGTCCTCGGCCCACGTCGAGTCCTCAGGCGCTCTACCTCCCGCTGGAGCTCAGAGCCAGTTTGCTCTCGCCTCTTTCTCTCCGGGCCCTTCCCGTCTGCGAATCGCACCCGCCAGCCCTGGAGTAACGCGCTCGACCCAAACCCCACCTTTCCTTTCCAAGGACCCCGTACCAAGGACGTCTCAACGTCCCGCCTCTCCAGCTGCGAGGACCCCAAAGTGGGAATGGAGAAGGTGCCTGGGGCACAGGCGTGAGCGGATGTGGAGGTGTCCAGCGGAGGAACCCCACCTCCCTCCAAGGACACCACTGCGGGGTGCGGGACACGCCACCTCCTCCCTCGGGTGCACCCGGCGCCCCGAGCTTCTCCCTAAGTCGGACCTCGGTCCCTTTCAAGTGCGGCCCTCGCCGGCGCCAGGTACCTCGCTCACCATGGGTCCCCGCAGTAGCGGGCTCGCCAGAAGCAGCTCCTGGGGACCTCTGAGTGGCTCGGGGAACGGGGCGAGGGCCGGGGATGGGGCGCTGCAGGCTCGGGACGGCTCGGACGGGAATCGTATCGGGGTCAGAGGCCAGGAGGGACTCAGCCCGGCGTCGCAGGGTTCCAGCCAGAACTCACCTCGCGTCCGGCCGCGCTCCTTCCCGCCCACCTTCCTCCTCTGCCCTCCCGCATCCACTCCTTCCTCCTCTTTCCCTCCCTCTCTTTCTTTCTTTCCTTCCTCCTCCTCTTCCCAGGCGGCCCCTCCCTTCTTCCCTCCTCCCTTTCTGGCGATGGGAGCCCCGCCCACATCCTCCTCCCCGCCGCCCGGCCCGGCCGCGCAGGCCCGGGTCCCGGAAGCGCGCGCAGCCCGCGGCCCGCGGATGCCGCCGGGGCTGGGACGTCGCTGCCTGTGGCTCTGAGAAGCGGCCGGGGCTCACCTGGGGACCACGTGCGGAGGTACTAGAAAGCATGCACCGACTAGTCGCTGTCCCTTCCAAAAATACCCATGGGAGTCTGGGCTTCCCTGGGTTTAGAGTAACTGCTGCCCAAACTGATGATTAAAACACTGAGTAATCACCATTTACCCCGAGTAATTAGAGATAATGAAACACCTCTAAAATCAGGTTATGGAGAAAGGAGCTGTTGGATTGGTTTAAAGGGTGGCCTTCCATAAACTGTTAAAGGATTTCCAAACGTTGGGAAACTGGCTCTGCGCTGAGCTGTGTCCCTAAAAGAGATACTCCTTTGGCTACTAAAAGGTGACTTTCCTTCCAAAAGCTTTTTTAAGAGCTCCTTGTGGAATACCTTGGTGAAGACTCTTGGGCACACAGCTCCTGAAAGGAACCGCCTCCTTCCTCTTTGCAAGCTGGACCTTTCAGATTCCTCTGAAAGATCCAGCCAAGGTGGCTTGCAGACAGGCTGGCCCTACCTTTACTGTTAGCAACGACTTTATAGCTCAGAAACTCTCTGAAGCCCTGGCCCAGCAATTAATTTTGTTGTTGATTGTTTTCTTTTTCGTGGAATACCTAAGAATTCTTAACCTCAGCAATCTGGGCTTCCAAGAAGGTAACAAGCAAAGAAGCACCCACCTCTTTGAGGGGAAAAAACAGATGCCCTTCAGCCGTTTTTTAAAGAAAGTAGGAGAATGAGGATTTGGTGCCTTCCTATCCCCCCAAAAGTACTTGTAATCATATTAGCAGGGAGGTGGAATGTGGTGGCTTCTAAACCTTCCCAAGCAGGAACTGATTTCACAAGCTGCTCCTGATGGAGCCCAGAGGGAGCTATCAGCCCCATCTCTGTTCTACAAACAAGGAAGGGGACGGATGGCAGGGTGGAAGGGACTCGCCCAGAGCCCTGAAGTCACCACCAGCCTCTCTCTGCAGTCTGGAGCTAGCATTGCAGAGCAGGGTTGAGGCTCAGTACCCTGAGCTCTGGGTACCCAGGGAGAGCTGAACATTTTCTCTCCTGGATTTCTTTCCCTGAGATGGACCTTATTGTCTCCACAAAGCGCTGAGGTCTTCTCCCCTTGGACAGACTTCAGCCTAGTTAGACTTCAGACTAGATAGCTCATCTATAAAATTACATTTGTATAAGTTGGCTATTTGGAAAAGAGGAACTACTTTCTGTACTGTGTGCAACAGAGATTAAGAAAGGTGGAAAGCATAGGAGAGCTGAGAAATATTGGTGGGAGAAGGGTCATAACATCCTGCCACCTGGCAGGGGTCTTTTTGCTTAACAGCAAAAACCAGCCAAGTCCTTCCATTCCTTGGCATCCATATTTTCTTATCTGAGACAGTGAAATAATTAGGCCCCATACTGTCCACACTCCCTTTCAACTTGAAAATCATCTGATTATTTTATTGTAATTGTAACAAACATTTACCTTCTTTCATTTTAAATCACTTCTGAGCCTATGTCCCCTAAGAACCTCCGATTAAACAGAGCAGAGCAATAAGGCCAGCCCCAAAAGATGATGAAAAATGTACCTCCAGCTGCCAACACAGTCAGATTTATAATTAATTATTAAAAATAACAGCACAAATTAACCCCATTCTGTGATTACTAATATCTCTCCTGAGGCATCAGGTAGTAGGGTCCTCTCACCCAGATTAAATTGTTCCCCCAGCCCCTAAATCAATCACTCTTGTTTTAATCATTAACACAATGTGTTCCTTAATATTTAAGCTCCAAGACAACGGTGATATGCTGTCCTGAAAAAGAGGGCTTTATTTTCTTTGAAAGCATGATGTGATCAGCTTTTCAAACCCCAAATGTTTTGAGATGGACAGGCTCTTATCTCATTTTGCTGAAGCCCAGACAATAAAGTGACCCCCGGCCCACCCATGAGTCTGTGAAACCTACCTTCCTGGAGTCTCCAATTAAGCTACTCGGCACACCTTGTTTAGACTCTGATACGGATCTGTAGGTGTGTGATGGGCGAACTCCACAGCAGTTCCCTTGGGACAGCTGGGACAGCGTGTTGTTGTTTTTTTTGTACCTGCATTTTTTCTCATCACCCTCCCCAACACACACACTCACCAAAGAACCAAGTGTTTGCTGGTTAAAAAGCCAATCACTCACACTCCAGTGATCAGAGTTGGTGAGGGAAACCTGTCTAGTGCTGTCCCCTCTCTGGAGCACCTCTGCACATTTTGGTGTTTTTATAGGCTGCAGTGTGGTAGAAACATACCAAATAAAACCACACTTCAAGCATACAGACAGAGAAGAGGAGCCCATCATGACTGAGGAGCACCTACTGTTTGTCTGCCACTCCTGCAGGACGGAGGGCATTGGTTGTGAGGTTTTTCCCTGGAGAGAGTCAAGGACTCTCTGGTCAGCAATTCCTTGGCGTGGCTTTTCTCCAGGTGTATTCTAAGGACACAAACTTAGCATAAGGGTAAGAGTGCCAACTGAATGCAAATTTCCTGGCCCAACCTGCAGGTCAGGACCTAGAAATCTCCATGTTTTCCTGATGATACCCAGCACACGCAACCTTGAAAACTACTGTTTTGAAAGTTATTTCACTTAGTTTCAGGGCTGACAAATAGAGTACTGCAAGACGGATGCCAAGACATTGTTAAATATTTAAGGAATATGCTTTAGTTAGTGCCTCATGCACTCTAAGTATGGCAGTTATATCCCTATGCCCAGAATACACCAAACAGTTCTATGCAGGTGAAATGGTTTGCATTCCAATACATGCAGCAGTCTTTGCTTTTAGGTCCCCGATTAAGAAGCAATTCAGAGCTTAACTGACCCATTCCTAGAACACCAGAACTCTGGGATGCTAAGGCAGGAAGATTTCAAGGTTGAGTCTAACCTGGCAACTAGGGACTTAGCCAGACCCTAACCAAAAAAAAAAATCTTCAAGGCTTCTTTGCATATTAGCTGTCTGTGGAAGTTTTAGGGGAGTTCTTTGAAGGAATTCCCAGCAGCATAATATTGCTAACTACTGAGCAGCAGTAAGCTAAATCAATGAAAAGTGGAAATGGAGGAGATCTCTGACCTGGCCTGGACTATCAATTTTCCTCTTACGAATAGTTACCATATGTTATATATTTATTCTCTGGCCCTCACAGCCCTGAGGACATACCTGTTCTATACATGAGACTATAGGGTAGGGAGGCTGTAATACAGGCTCAAGCTCACAGAGCTAGTAGATGCTAGACCCAAACTCGAGACCAGGTTAGTCTGTCTCCTCCCCTGGGTGTCTTGAATTGGGCTGTCAGGGGCTGGATCCCTGTGGCCTCAGCTGTCAGCTACACAGCTGGCCCTGGGGACTTTCCCCGGGCCAGACACCTTGTAGCCTGCATGTGCTGGGAGCTTTAGGAGATCTTTCCTAGTTCCTAGGGGTCAGAACAGAATCAAATCCCAAAAACTTGATTCTTATTGACATCTAGCCCACCTTAGGGCAGGACTTTCTGTGCTCTTCCCCAGAAAAGGTTGTGATTTTGAGACAGATACTAATTACCTGTGCTGGGACAGTTTCCATCTTGTAAAATGTGATTAGTAGACAATTCCTCACAGGTTCTTTAGGCCCTAGGATCTCTGGACAGCACATCCTAGGACTATCATTAAATCACAGTCAAGTTGCTTAATATTCAGTGTGTTGGTTTCCTCATTTATAACCTGAGAAGAATAATTTTTATTTCATAATGTTCTTATAAACATGAAATGAGTTAATATAATAAAATAGCAGGCACAAAGGGTCTCATAAATATTGGATATTACTATAATTCTTTCAAAACTAATCATTAAGTGAGGGAAGTGGAAGGTAAAGACACACTTCGGTATTGTGTTTTATTTAAAGATTAAGACAATTTTCTTTTGGCATCCCTGAGAATTAAACCCAAATCCTTTTTACTGAGCTGTACCTCCAGCCCTTGTTTATTTTTATTTTTGTTTTATTTTTATTTTTATTTTGACACAGGGTCTTGCTAAGTTTCCCAAAGTGGCTCAAATCTGTGATCCTCCTGCCTCAGCCGCTCAGAGTTCTGGGATTACAGATGTGTATCATCATACCCAGCAGTTATGACAAACTTTGTAAAGGAAAGGATTGGCCTCAAATTTATTTTGTTGTCTGGAGTGCTGCACACATCTGAGGTGTTTATTTAGTAATGGCTGTTATTTACAAGAATAGCATTCACCAAGTTAATGTTCATTACAGTTTGCCTGTGTGGATTTGATCCATGAACACAGCCCTGCCAAGATAATGCATAACTGTCAGACTCCTGCCTGCAGAACAAGGAAATGTCAGGCTTTCGGACAGGCCCAAAAGGTTTTCCATCTTTCACACAAGAGTTTTCCCATTTTCTTTTTCCTTGTCTAAAGCAGAACTAACTTGCTTTTGTTTCTTTCCTTTGACTTAGTGATTGACTAATTGACCGATGGATTGCAGTGCTGAGGATTGAGTCCAGGTCACTGCGCATGCTAGGCAAGCAAGCACTCTACTCCTGAACCACACCTCCAGCCGGAAGAGGAAAAGGGGATGCAGTTGTGCAGCTGTTCTATTTCTAAGCACCGAAACTGTCGTCAACCTTGATATACCTCACTTAAAGCTGAATGGCACTAGACTCTAATACTTTCCCACATATAGAAGAAAATGCAGTTCCCTTTAAGTTCCCTATGCCTTCCAGTGCTGCATCAGTACTTTCTGGACTAGGATCCTTTCTGTTATAACCCATCAGCAGATAGGGTTATATATCAAAAAACTGCGCAGAGAATGTTGGACGATATCCCAGTTGATATCAGACAGATGAGAAGATTGCTTTTATATTTTAAAATGTTTCAAATGTTTCACATATTTTAAAATGTGCCAATAGGGCACAGATATAGAATTCTTTCTTTTCTAAAAGAAAGGTCAGGATGGAAGCCACACACAGTGTTAAATCAATATTTAAGTTTATTCTAAAACATGGCCACCTTTTTCCACAGCAATGTACTGTTTGGAAATAAATCCATGTAGAGTGTATGACACAAATGAGACCTTTGGAATGTCTTCGTTCTCAGCTCACCCATCCTTTTCATTCTCTCTCTCTCTGATGGGTCAGTGTGACCCAAACAGGAATTGCTGTCACTAGAGGACAAGTTTTAGAAGCGAGACACAATCCTACACCAGCATTCGACTACCTACTGAATTATCGTGCTTTCCCTATCAGAAGCCCACTGAGTAATGCCAACTAACTTCTACCCCTCCGTACACACTAAAAATGTCCTAGCCTTTTGCAGGGAAAGCTCTGTCCATGATCTTTTATTGTATAGATAAACTTGAATATTTTTACTAATAGTACAAATATTTCACAGTCTTGTGCAGGGAGGAAGCCCTTTTACTAACGTCCTGATCAAGAGTAACTTGTGGGGTCCACCATATAGCTCAGCAGCACAGTACTTGCCTGAAAAGCATAAGGATGTGAGTTCAAACTCTGGTGTCAAAAACAGAGAATAATTTGTGTGTTGTTTATAATCCCTTCTTGGGTTATCTATACACGTTGATGCTCACTTTGTGAAAAATTCAAATTGTATACCTTAAGATTTTTGTACCTTCTCCTTATATTTGGGTACACCATTTATGAAAACTAAAATCTTGAAATGATTTTTTTTAAAAGTTACCTTCTTTGATGTTTAGTCAAAATCCCAGCAAGAGACAACGTATAGAGCGAAAGGCCTGTGCAGGGCCAAGCTAGGAGTTGCCTGAACTTCATCCTCTGGCAGCCACAGCATCTGAGAAGTCTCTGGAAGAAAGAGCGACCACTCCCTCCAAGGCCTGGTCTCTGGGTGCAGGCACTGCCCGAGGTGGAGGGCAGATGCCAGCAGGTCTCTTACTTTGTCCAGTCTGGAGGGGCCCATGAATCCTGCTCCAAACAGAGACCTCTGGAGGCCTATGGAGCCTGGACTGGGCTCCTTCCCTTTTAGGCCTCTCTAAATGGAGGTTCAGGCTGGTGAGGCAGGGGTGGGGAGGTGTCGGGATCCCAGGATAGGCATTTCTTTTGGTAGAAATGCAAGAAGCTAGCTTAAGAGAAAGGCAAGGGGCTTGGAAAAGGAGAATGAATCTCTTGCATCTTCTCCAAGGCTGAGCCTCAGCTCAATGCAATGATCTATTTTTAAATTTTGTATTAGTTTATGTTTGCAGTCCAGATTGATTACATTCACTAAGAGGCATTTGGATATGTATACAACACATCTATTTTTTAAAAAAATTTTTTGTACCAGTAATCAAACTCGCAACCTCTTGGCTGCCAAGCAGGAGCTTATGCCACTGAGCTAAATCCCCAGGCCCTAACGCATCTTAATTCTTCCCATGTTCCCTTCTCTTCTCTCCCAGGCCCTCCCTCCATCTCTTGCTCTCCTCATTTGCAAGAGATCACCTTCCTACATCCTATTATCTATCTTTTATTTTCCATGCAGGAGATCCAAGCCAAGCGCCTGAGGTCAGAGTTGGGCCCATTTCAGGGTCTGGCCTCCCCAGAGCCAGGTTCAGCCATGGGAAAACCAACTTTCAAGGAGTCTCGATAACTGAAGGGAGACGTTGAGAGAAAGAGAGGTGCGGGTTAAGGGAGGGGAAAAATCCTGTGCTGGGGTGGGGTGGGGGGAGCAGTGCTGTGTCTCCTGCGCACTTTGGAGATAGGTGGGAGTGCACAGTGGGCCCCTGGCCTTGGGGTAACAGGCAGCTGGGGCGTGAGACTCGCCACACGCAGGGTCACCCCATCTCCCCATGGACCAACTCCTTATCCTCACGTGCTCCCTGCTCTGAACCCCTGTTTGATTCCTCGACACCTCCCCCTCCCCCTCCCCTGCCGCATGCAAAGAAAAGGCTCTTAGTGTCCCAGATGCCAAAGGGATTCGGAGGAGAAAGCGCGGCGGCTGGGCGATCGCGGCTGCTCCCCGCTGTTGGGGAGACTGCAGTGTCCGCTCCTTGCGGGACGCCGCGTGGGCGCAGTCACCCGGTAGCACCGCCCGGCCCGGCCCGGCCCAGCGCTGCCCCCTGCGCCCGCCAGCTTGCCTCTCCCTTGTCAGTTTTTAGCTCGGCAGCTGCACCCTGCTACCTGCAAGAGCTCGTCCCGCTCTCAGACTCGTTTTGCAGGATTTGTGCCCCAGGTGGCTAACCTGACCCATACTTGAATAAACAGCTGGCGCCGGGGCAACCCTGGTGAGCTATTTGCACGCGAGCATGCGACACGTTCCTCAGACAGGGAACCTCCCCGCCTCTTTTCACTGACTGCGACTTGGAAACTGAACCATCTCCGGAGGCATAAATAAAATTTCAAAACCGAAAGAGGTGGGCGGTCCTAATGTGAGACTCCTCCTCTGGGACAGTTTTGTCCCCTTTTGCTTGGAAGCCCCGGAGATGTGGGGGCAACCGGAGCCCGGGATCCAGAGTTACACTTGGAAGCGTCTGCTTATCCGGATTCCCGAGCTAGCCATACCTTCCCGGATGACTGGAGGTCCCGGTGGCCGTGCGGTTCTTCCATCCACTGAGGAAGAGTATGCATGCGTTCTTCTTCAACCTGCCAAGGCCAGCAGCGCACCTACAAGTCTGAGCCTTCCTAGGAAAGCGATCTGTAGGTCTCAGGACCCGGCACGGAGAGGCCAGGTGTGAGCTCTGGAGAGATTCTGCGGTTGAGGTGGGGGTTCCTTCAAGACTACTGCGGTCCCAGCTGAACAAAAATAAAGCACAGCAAGGAGACTTCCTTATTCACATAAAGAAAGAGGCTAGGTTTTGAAACTTATGCCTCAGATTTCTGATTTTCATCCTGAAAAATCTGAATGTCATTTTTTGTTCACTTCTTCCACCTTAGTATGAGCCAAACTTTACACCTAACACCATTCCTGCATCTGGCTAGTTCTGTGCCTACAACCCTAGGGCTTTGGATGATCTGATTTTATTCCTATAGTTCAGATGGAATGGGGACACGAATGGGTATTGACTTTCTTTGTTAGGTTTAATTTAAATGCTAATCCCTTTAAATTAGAAAATCTTAAACCTGCTATGTGACTTCATTAAGTATCTCTGGATGAGTCAGTTGTGTTGGCCCATGGTGTAATCCAACTGCTTGGGTGGCTGAGACAGGAAGATTGCAAGTTCAAGGCCAGCCTGGGTGAATTATTGAGACCTTATCTCAAAAGAAAAAAAATAAAAAGGTCTGGAGATGTAGCTCAGTGGTAGAGCGCTCCAGGCTTCCCTCCCCAGTACCTATGCCCCTCCCAAAAATAGCAAATCCCTGGGTGAATGTTAGAGGGATCTGTTACACACACACACACACACGCGCACACACACACACACACACACACACACACACGCACACGTGGAATTTCTGCATACAATTTTTGTATGCGGAGTCCTCCTTTTTATATGCACAGTTCATGGGGGCTGTGAGTTTATCACATTTTCAAAGACACTCAGGAAAGGCTAAAGCCTCTCTAGACTATGAACCCTGCCCCAGCTCTTTCCTTGTAGAATGCTTTGTCTCTAAGTTGCACACACCATAGCTTTGACCCAGAGGGACACAGTTTTCACCCTCACCAGCGCGAGATTCTTAACTCATCACTAAGACAACAGAAATGTTACTCACCCTGAGGTGTCCACACTTGCAGGGGAAATGACTCCTGCAGAAGCTCCAATCCCTGCTCTGTCAGTCTTAACTGGACTCACTATTAACCCACCTAAGCCTCTTGGCACTGTCAGGGTGAGGATCAAATGCCAGAGTGTACGTAAAACACCGATTTACAGATCACAAAAATACATGGCTAGTGGCATTTAGAAAAGAAATGCAGATAGATTTCCATATGCTAGTTAATTAAATAAATAATCATGCAAATACTTGTATGAGTATTTGCATATTTTCTCTTACTATCTATTAGGAAAACCAACAGATTTTGGATCTCTGACAATTATTAGGCATTTTCACATTTCATTATCTGTCTTCGGATCAACCTACTGCTTAGATGCTATAGTTATTCACCATCCCAGCTTTTTTTTTAACGTTCAAGGAAAAATATATAGAAAGATTGACGCCCCCCCCAGCTGACAAGCACTACATTTTAGCTCCTGAGAAAGTCCCTGTGTGAAAGGGATATTTGAAAAGGAGTAAACTTTGTTCAAGTAGAAGAACATTTCATTCCTTGTGAGTTTTAGTGCAAAAGTAAAGGAGTTTAAAACAGAACAGCCACTCTTGGGGGTCTAGGGTTCATGGAGACTCTTTGCTGGAAAAGCTGTCCCTAATTCCTTCACTTCCCTTTCATTTCCTCCATCATTCAGCTTTACTAGCAGCCTAATGGTCATGGTCAGCAACTCCAGGGCGGAGACAGTGGTAGGAGGGTCTGGGAAGAGGAAAGCTGCTCACCTCATGGCGTCCAGGAAGTAGAGAGAAGAACAGGAGGAGCTGGAAGGAAGATATCAGGTCACGTGCCCAGTGAACCCCCTCCGCCCACTAGATCCCCTCAGTACATGCAGCTACTGAACTCATTAGGGGTGAATCCACTGATGAGTATAGCATCCTTAAATCCCAATCACCTTCTAAAAGCATTGCTTTTGGGTGAACAAGCATTTGGGAAGACATCCTAGATCTAAACCATAATACATGGAGAAAACTCAAGTGAGAGAGACTGGGAAGGGCAGCAAAGTCATCCTTAATAAAGACGCCACCCTTCAGTGACCAATGTGCACCCTCCCTGCTGGCCTTGACCCTTTCTGGAGTGCCAAGACCTCGTGATCCAATGCCCCTTTCACTTCCCACCTCTCAATACTGTTGCTCAGAAAGTTAGGTTTCCAATACACGAACGTCGAGGAACACATTCAAGCCATAGCCCTCGTTATGAACTTGGACATGTGACATTTATTGTCTCGTGAATTATGTAGGCTTTGTGATCTTAAATTTTAGACAGTGATAGTTGCTTCTGTAAAGGGCCAGATAGTAAATATTTTAGGCTTTGCAGACCCTGAGCCATTTTTGTTATTATTTTTTTCTCCCCCGCTTCTTTCTT